GCTGCGCTGCCCGCTGCCGCGCCTCCGAGGCTGCTGCAGCAGCCGCTTTCTCAGGGGGCCCCCTAGAGGGGCCCCCAGTGTTTTTAATAATGCTTAGAGACTATAATTGGGCTTTTGTGCTGCACTTTTAATGTTAAGGACTTTAAGTCTGCAGCGAAGATGAGGGGCCCCCAGCTGGCGCCGAGGGCCCCTCCTGCAGCGGTCCACTGCATCGAGAGACCAGGGGCCCCTGCTGCTGCTGCTCCTTTTGCCGCTCGTTGCTTCAGCTGCAACTGCAGCAGCAGCTCATTGTGGGGAGAACTGAGTTGGAAACCGCGGCGAGCAGCAGCTGCGCCGCGGTGTACGTACACCCGGACTCGGGGAGCGACTGGGGGGAGGCTCCAGCGCACTCCTCGGCTCCGGACTTTTTTAAAACTCTACTTTTTAAGAAGTTCAATTTAAACTTAATTCCAACAAATCGAGCTACTTAAGCTGCAGAAAGGGCCCCAGAGCCCGCAGTGGCGGGCTGGTCAGCCAGGTGACCAGTGGACCACTCCGAGACCCCTGGTGCTGGACCACCGCTGGACCACCACAGCTGGGCCGCAGCCCCAGCAGCACAAAGGGGGTCGAGCATCTCCAGCGCACAGGAAAGGTAGCAGCAGCAGCAGCGCCCCGCATCAGCAGGGGCAGCAGCAGCAGCTGCTGCTGCTGCTTGCTGCTCATTTGCCCCTGCAGGACACTCCGCTACGGGGTCCCAAGCTCTTCAGGCCGCGGCGGAACATCTCCAAAGTCCAGACCACATCCCTCGTACCTGCAGCAGCAGCAGCAGCAGCAGCAGCAGCAGCAGCACAGGCACGCAAACTGAGGAGTACAGTACCGCGCCAGCGACAGCTGCAGCAGCATCAGCTGCAGCAGCAACAGCTCCAGCAGCTGAGGCAGCAATGCCAGCAACAGCAGCTGCAGCAGCAGTAGCAGCTACTCAAGCAGCAGCAGCAGCAGCATTTTGGGTTCCTTACTGTCTCTTAAGGAACTCAGAGGCCCACTTGACGTCATCTTCTTCTTTTTGGAAAGGCATTTCCTCTGCATCTCAAGAACCCACGTCATCCTTAAACCCTAAACCCTAAACGCTAAACCCTAAGCCTTCAACCCTAAACCCTAAACCCTTGGGCCCTAGGCTTCAGCTGGACGTCCCGAGACTCTGCAGTTCAAGAGCTTGCTGAGGGTTTAGGGTTTGGGGTTTAGGGTTTAGAGCTAGGGACAAATGCACAGCAAGGGAAACGCTAAGCAGCAGCAAATACCTGAGAGGGCGAAGCTGCTGCTGCCTGCAGCAGAAAGAGCAGCAAAAGACTCTGTGTGGGGCCCCCACTCTTCTGCCAGCAGTCCCGCGCCGCTGCTGCTGCTGCTGCTGCTGTCTTCCTCGCGGTGGGCAGAAGGACTGGGGGGCCCCTTTGTGCCCTTTTCCATGCGAGAACTTTCCCCCCAGTACCCACTTTGGGGGCCCCCCAGACTCCTGGGGGGCCCCCCAAACTCCTGGGGAGCCCCCCCAGCTTCCTCCCTGGGGCTGCAGGGGCCCCCGGCCCCCCCAGTTGGGTACCTGGCGGGGTCTTTTGCTGCTCTTTCGCCCCTTGGGGGCCCCCCTGGGGGGCCCCTCTGCCGCTCGCTGACCCTGGGGGCCCCCCGGGGGCCCCCCAGGGGGGCCCCCCCGGGGGGCCCCCACGGGGGGGGTCTTGGGGGG